CGGGGCCGAGCGGGTCCGACCGGCTCCCGCCCCCGCCCGGCCTCACCTGGGACACACCGGGGTGTCCGGGGAGCCCAAACCACACCTGGGGGGACCCACGGAGCCGGGGAACCCCGAAATCCCACCCCCAAAACCGCACCTGGGGGATTCAGGTGCCGGGTAACCCCGAAATCCCACCCCCAAAACCTCACCTGGGGGATTCAGGTGCCGGGGAACCCCCAAAATTCACCCCCAAAAATCCCATCCCTGCTCAAATCCCCCTCCAAACCTCACCTGGGGGATCCAGGTGTTCGGGAAACCCCAAAATTCACCCCGAAAACCTCACCTGGGGGATTCAGGTGTCGGGGAACCCCCGAAATCCCCCCCAAAAAATCCCATCCCTGCTCAAACCGCCCTTCTCTCGGGGCACCTGCTGGGATCCAGGTGTTCTGGAAAGCCCAAACCTCACCTGGAGGGGATCCAGGTGTTCTGGAAAGCCCAAATCCCTCTCCAAACCTCACCTGGAGGGATCCAGGTGTTCTGGAACCCCTCACCTGAGGGGCACTTGGACATCCCAAAACCCCCAACGCCACCGAACCTCCCCAAGCGGGGAAGAATCGGGGGTTCAGGGACCCCCAAATTCCTGCCAGCCCCTCACCTGAGGGACACAGGTGTTCGGGAAAGCCCAAATTCCCTCTCCGAATCTCACCTGGCTGGATCCAGGTGTCGGGCACCCCCCAAAGCCCCACCCAGAGAGACTCCAGGTGTCCGAGAACCCCCCAAAATCCAGCCCCAAACACCCCCCAGGTATGGGGGACCCCCCAAATTCCCTCTCCAATCCTCACCTGGGTGTCCGGCACCCCCCCAAACCCCCACCTGGGTTGTTCAACGCCCCAAATCCAGCCCCAGGTGACACCCAGGTGTGGGGGACCCCCCCAAATTCCCTCTCCAATCCTCACCTGGAGGGATCCAGGTGTCCGGCACCCCCCAAATCCCCACCCAGAGAGACTCCAGGTGTAGAGAAACCCCCCCAAACCCCCACCTGGGTCGTTCAGCTCCCCAAATCCAGCCCCAGGTGACACCCAGGTGACACCCGGGTGTGGGGGACCCCCCTAAATTCCCTCTCCAATCCTCACCTGGAGGGATCCAGGTGTCCGGAGGAGCCCCCCAAACCCCCACCTGGGTTGTTCGACGCCCCAAATCCAGCCCCAGGTGACACCCAGGTGACACCCGGGTGTGGGGGACCCCCCCAAATCCCCCCCCGGGACCCCTCCCCGGGTCTCTCACCGCAGCATCGCTCCCGCTCCAGCCACGAGCAGCAGGAGGGGCCCGATCGTGGGACCCCCCATGGCCGCTCCGAGCCCCCCCATGGCCGCTCTGAGCCCCCCCAGCCCCGCGCCGGCGGGGGGACCCCCCCACGCCCCGCC